ATTAAATATATCTAGAAAGGTTTGTAGAGGTCGTTAGAAAAGTAGGAAAGCTAGGGTCGGAATTCAGACCCCAGAACTCTTCTTTTGGTACTACTCCTGTAGCTAACAAACTGGTAAATTTCTGCTGCTGTGGTGAGTGCTTGTGCGATAGTGTTATATGTCCAGGTATTGGTGTCAAATAGAGCATTAGTAGGCTTTGGGATCTTGCTTGTTACGACTTGCGCGAATTCCATGTTGTCTGGAGTGTCGATTATAAGTGAGGCAATATTAGTTTTAGTAATCTGGCTGTGGAGAGGCTTAAATGGGGCTGGTGCACTATTGATTGTTGTCTTGTTGGCCTTGTTAGAAATGGTAGTAAAAGGCAAGATATTTCTGGCTCGCTTTCTATTAGTAATGACTGCAGGTAAAGGAGGCGGGTTTCGTTGGGTGGTAGATGCCAGGACCGATGTAATTTGACTCGGGGGTGTAGAGGGTCTGGGTACAAGGTTGGTAGTATGGTGCTGTATAACCAAAGGTGCATTGAATGCTGTTGTACTAGTAGTGATATCTGTATCTATTGGTGTAGATGCAGTTTTGGCTGAGTTTGTTCTAGGTGTAGTAGTTCCACTAGTACTTCCATTAGATGCGTTATCTGATTTGAGGTTAGTTATATCATTATATGGAGTAAGATAAAGATCAGTTGTCTGTTTAGCTTTCATATAGGGTTTTATACTGTCATAGTATGTCTTTGTGATTGTTGTCATATCAACATTGTATACAGGTTTTAGCTGCTTGGCATTAATATTGACTATATTGTTTTTAGATGAATATAGATCAAAGAGAACTAATTGGCTTGGGTTTTTGTGTTCACATACCCATTGGGAAGAGTAATCGACCAAGTTGGGGATCTTGCCAGATTTGGTAATATCACTGTAGAAGAGGAAGTTGTCGGTGTACTCTTAAATAGAGAAGTTAACAGTAAAGATAAGTTTGGTTCAGTCTCTAATAGTAATATTGACAAATTTTTTAGTGTGTTCTGAAGCTGGAGTTGTGGCCGTTGTCTGGATAGGGAACTCCTTTTGTTCTGCTAGCCTGTGCCAATAAGAAAAAATTTCTCTGGTAGAGGTAGAGCTTTCGGAGGCCATAGTTTTGGATTGAGTTTGGGACTAAGGAGAACTTAGTAGTTCTTGTTTGATATTGTTTTTGTGTAGAGTAGGGCTAGTAGTTTGTTTTATATTAGTAGAGTATGAGTGTCCTTAGGACTGCTTTCGCGAGACAATGAAAAAATTGTTTTTCAGTCGATTTTAGTGTTTTTTGTCTTTTTCTCGTAAATGAGTCATTCTTTTTCCAAAGTTGCATCTTCTTTAAATAGATTAAGGGGTGCCAGATAACTTAGTTTTTACATTGCTACAGCTGTAATGGCTCAGCGCATATGTTAACAAGTTTTCTTTATTGTAAAGATGAAGAAAATGAAATAAATTTCATTTATTTTACTTATTTCACTTTCGCAATTTTTATGACCTTCAATCCTTCCAAAATAGGTATCAAGGCTATGATCTTGTTAATTCTACGTTACTACTATATTGACTAACTATGTTAAGCTTATACTTTTAGAATATAACTAGTACAATGATACAAAAATAATAAAAGAAAATAAAATAAAAAAAATAAATTCGGAGGCCACAGGAGCCTCTGACAATTTCCCTTCACTAAATTATGAGTTCCACGAGTATCTCCTTACAATAAGGATTGATATTTGGTGGCAGTCAATTTTTGGAAATCATTTAGGGTGGTGGTTTGGGTGCGGCACAGTTGCCTTACACTATCTTCTCTCTCGAAGATATAGTAAATGTGGATTACTGCAGTATAGTAGTGGGAGCTTAAGTACCTTTTTAAAGAGACATGTTGGTCCTTCAGAATGCTGTCGAAAAGAGTGCCCAGGTAGTAGGCATATACTAAGCTATCAATATGTTTACCCTGTCAGAGGGCTCTCTGCATGAAATAATTGCCAGTAGATATTTTTGTGGAGTTGTTATCATCGTTGGAAAAAGAGCACAGAACTGGGTTAACATTGAATGGAAGAGCCAGGCTCCTATCTAATTGGATTTGCTAGATAGAGGTGAGATTTCCCATATTCATTTTAGGTGAGAAGTAGAAAAAAAAAAAAAAAATTAAGAGCTTCTCTTTGGCCTATTTATATTTCTTGCTCAAAGTAAGGCTTTAGTAATGTTTTGTTAACTGGCATTGGTAGTACTTTTCCATCAAGTTCTCGTATCTTGTACATGCTATTTGGAAGGTTAGAATGAATGTAGTATAGTCTCTCTATTTGGGCATAAGCTTATTACTGCGTGTACCCAATTTTCTGGCGTTTAGGACAAGAACTTTTTCATCTATATTAAAGTCTTTAGTGGCTTTGGTTCATCGATCATATTGTTCTTTTTGTTTTTGCTGAGCTGCGTCGATCTGGCCCAATACTTTCTCATACGCTACCAGCAGATCATTGTCAATCTCATATAGTTGTTGAATTATTGTTCTATTCAGTAGGTCTTCTGTTGTACTAGGATGCAATGGTAATTGGGCCATCTTTCTATAAACCAAGTAAAAGGGCATTTTGCAAGTCGTGGCTTGTTTTGCCATCCAGTATGCAAAGAGAATTGAAGGTATAATTAAGTCTCAGTCAATTACATTTGTTATTAATCATGCAATAGAGCTGCACAGAGTCTTGTTAAAGCACTCAACAAGCCCATTTGTCTGTGGGTGATAGGGGTGGAGTAGTGATGCTTGGTATTCAAAGCCGCAAGTAATTCGTCGACCATGTGGTTATTAAAATGGGACCCTTAATCTGTTAGTATTATGCTAGGGTAGCCATGCCTGCATATTATGTTATTGTAAATAAACTCATCCACTTCTTGGGCATTGGCCCTGGGAACTGCGTGAGCCTCAGACCATTTAGTCATATAGTCAGTTGCTACAATAATGTATTTATTAGAGTGAGGGTAATGGTAGTGGGCCGACTATGTCAATGCCTATCCTATGAAATGGGGCTTGGACTTGAATTGGATGCAGTAATTTCTTTGATTTTCGTGTAATTGGCACTTTTTACACGTTTTTACATATTCTCTAATATCATAGTACATTTGAGGCCAATAATAATATTTACGAATTTTATTAAATATAATGTCTTTCTCGAAATGAGCTCCCGTGAGGTAATCATAAGCTAAGGTTAGAACTGACTCTAGCTCCTCTTCTTATAGTACTTTTAGTAGATTTCCTTGAGGCTTTTGTTTAAACAGATTTTCGTTTTTGATCTGGAAAAATCTGCTTTGTTTTCTCAGCTAGTTTCATTGCTAAACACCATAGTGTTGCGGGTATTGCCGTTGCTAAAGGTAGGTTTTCAATGCCATGTATTGTTGAGGTTCCATTGTTGGATTTTATGCCTTATTTTTGTTCTTTTCAAATTTTTGTTTATGGCCAGAACACCAACAACCTGGGCCGTATTGAGCTTTACATCGAATTTAAGTCTGGTCAAGGTTTTTCACTTTTGCTTGATTGGTCAATCATTTTAATTGGTTTGAGTATTAATTTAACAACCAGCTCTTTTTTTTTTTTGAATATTTCTGCGTATTTCTTTTAGTGGCTTTTTAGTTTTAACTCTTTAAATTTCGCCAATGTTTGGGTTTTTTTATCAACTCCAATTCTATTTTGATGGCAATACCCAACACTGTATGGGTATCTCTGTGAGTAGTTTCTCGAATTATTATTGTTAAAATATTTTTCTTCCTTGCAGTTATATCTTCTGTAGTTTAGGTTTAGACGGGTTTTGACTTTTCACTTTCCCTACGATTTCTTTAGATAAATTCGTCTATTGGTATTGACGCCACGTTATGTGGTCCTTTCTGTGGTTTTAAGCCTTTCCTTCGTAGAGTTAAATTCTTGGTCTACGCTTAGATCTTTATAATACTTTATTAGTATACTTTGTTAGAATCTTTATCGACTTCAATTCTGTTTTGACTTAATTTCTGTTCTCGAGGTATTTTAATTCTACCAGTGTTAGTTTTGCCATATTTCATCAATGTTCGGTCTTAGATTCACTTTTAAGGAACTAATAATTGACTTTTTCTTGTAGTAGTTCGTTCGGTCAATCTTTAACTTTTTAGGGTTTGTAATTGTCGTATATCACATAATTTTTCGGGATTTTAATTTGTTCCTATCGATAGATATACTATGTTTCTTGGATTAAGCTTTATTATTTTTAACTAATAGTTCATAAAATCTTTGAATAGGGCTTCACAACTCACTCTATTCTATTCTGACTATCCTAGTGTCAGGTCTGTGTACGAAAAGGAAAAAAAAAAAAGTAAAAAATAATAATAATAAGGGGGCTGACAAATATTAGCTTATTATACCTCCCTGGGATTTTTACTTAGTCCTACCCAAAGTCAGTTATTTGACACAGTTAAACTTACAAAAAATGCATAATTAGGTTTTTGACAGTTTATGTTGTCAACTGTCAAAAACCTAATTATGCATTTTTTGTAAGTTTAACTGTGTCAAATGACTGACTCTGGGTAGGACTAACTTTGGGTAGAATTAAGTAAAAATCCTAGGAGGTATAATAAGCTAATATTTGTTAGCCCCCTAACAATGCTAGTAAAATAGCCTATAGTAAAAAGAAGCCTTAATAGTTTTACAGACTTGTGGGTCTGTAAAACTTAATACCAAATAATCTAAAGTACAAATATCAAAGAAAAAGGTCTTAGAGAGTTTTTTTTTTTTTTTTTTTTTTTTTTTTTTTTTATTAGTTCTATCAAAGTTCTGTCTCAGTTATATCTTGTGTGAATTTTTAATTTTAATTAAATTTTGCAAGGTGGGTATTATTTCTTACAAAGAATCATAATACTCCCAATCAATATATTCGTCCATTGATTGGGACCATTCATCTTCTTCAATGTTCATATCTTAGAAGTCCGCAAATAGGTCATTTTGGTCAGGCTTATTCCAATCTTTATTAAAGCGAGGGTAGGAATTATAATTTTTAATATTTTCTTCAAACTTCAAACCTTCAGCAACTTTGTTCTATCGGGGTATATCGATTAGGTAGGTCTTATTAATGTTCATTGGTTGTACTTCATTTTCAGTATAATTGGTACTTGGCAAACTATCCTGGTCTTCATCATCTATTGCCCAAGTTATTTCTATTCTTGCCTCTATGGCTAGTTCGATTAGGAGGTTCTGAAGATTTATTTCTCGTGCCATCATGCTAGTGGTAAGTTCCTTGTTCTATGCATATTCTTGTTCTGTATTTTCATCAGTGTTTTTGGTATCTTCATCATATTTCCATTTACTCTCTTCTGTACTAAGGTCCCAAGGAATGGTGTCTACTTCTTCATCAGAATCATCAATGAAATATTCTTGAGCAATTGCTCTGAATATTTCAATTTCTTCCACTTCAGCTTCTTGTATTTCAAAGGTTTCTTTTGTAGGTTTGTCAAGGCCTTTAATATTTCTCATATTTGCTAGTTTTTTATGGTGGTTTACTATTTCATAATTACTTATTTTCTTTTTAGGAGGCTCTTCAACCATACGAGATAAGGCATCGGCATTATTATGAACTCTGCCGGACCTATGGATTATGGTGAAATGGTAGGGTTAAAAGCAGAAAATCCATTAAGCTCTTCTCCCTTTCAAGATAGTGTTGTGGAGCCATTTTAGAGTGGCGTGATCAGTTACAACAATAAAAGGCTTGTATTCTAGGTAATAATGAAAGTATTCAATAGCCCAAACCACAGCATAATGTTCTAACTCTGTGGCCGCATAATTTCTTTCAGGGTGGGTAAGGCTTTTGCTTGTATAAGCAATTGCATATTCTTTTTTGTTTTCATCTTTTTGGGCAAGTACTGCTCCTAGCCTGGAACCAGACATGTCTGTATAGCGATAGAATGTTTTCTCGAAATTAGGATATCTCAGGACTGGGGTAGTAATTAAAGATGATTTAAGGGCTTGAAAGGCATTTTCATATTCCGGGCCCCACTCATATTTTGTTTCTTTTTCCAACAATTTGTGTAGAGGCTTTGCGGTGGTAGAGAAATCTTTGATGAACTGTCAGTAATATGAGACTAGGCCAATAAAGCCTCTTAACTGCCTTAAGGTAGTAGGTAAAAGAAAGTTTTTGACCTTGGTGACTTTTTCTTCATCTGGTTGGATACCATTTTTTCCTACTATATGGCCTAGGAATTTGATGTTGTTTTAAAGTAATTCATATTTTTCTGAGTTTAGCTTTAACCCAGCTGCTTCTAGCTTCACTAAAACCTTCGTAAGGTGCGTCAAGTATTCCTGGTAGGTTCTTGAATATATCACGATGTCATCTAGATAAACGGCCATGAATTGACCAATATAATCGTAAAGAAGATTATTTATGGCTCATTGGAACGTTGCCAGGGCATTACAAAGTCCAAAAGGTATAACTTTAAAGGTATAAGTACTTTGCTTTGTTACAAAGGCAGTTTTTTCTTAATCTTCTGGTTTTATCCAGATTTGCCAGTATCCTCTAGCTAGATCTAAAAACGAAAACCATTCGGCCTTGCCAGAGGTTTCTAAAAGATCATCAATTCGAGGTAGGGGAAATGCATCTTTCTTAGTTACTGTGTTTAGCTTCCTATAGTCTATGCATAGTCTTAACTTTCTATTTTACTTCGGGACTATCACTACAGGTGAGGTTCACAGACTTTTTACTTTGAAGATAAGTCCATTGGCTAATAATTTTTTTACTTTTTTGTTCAAGAAGTCTTGGGCATCGGGAGTGGTTTAATATGCATTTTGTTTAATGGGTCTTGCATTTCCAGTATCAGTTTCATGCTGGATTTCTTGATATTGGCCCAGTTGATGCAATTCTGCGGCAAAGAGTCCTTGGAACCTTCTTAGTATTTTAACTGAGGCTTCTTTTTGTTTTTTATCTAATGTTTTAGCTTGTACCAACTTATTAATAGTTTCTTCTGAAGTTAGTTCAGGTTGGTTGCTTTCTTCCGAGGTTAAGAGTTCTTCAACTGCTATTAGGTATATAGCAGGGTTATCGATATCACTTATTTGACCGTAGGTAAGTTCTTCTTCTGCCTCATCTGTATAATAGCTTTTGATTTCTTCTAAATCGTTTTCCTCTTCATAATAATCGAAGAAATCTTTATCTTTATCTTCAATAACTTTGGCAGGTTCCAAAGCATTTTCCTTAGTCTGATAGATGGGTACTTCTACACTTTTGCCCAAGTATCGAAGGGTAAGCTTCTTTTTGTCGAAGTAAAGGCGGGCGCAGACTTTTTAGAACCAGTCCATCCCCAAGAGCATCATTTCCTTGGGGTTTTCAATCACTTGGAAGTCGGTAGGTATAAGTATATTTTGCACTGCCAACTTAACTCCAATTATTTTTCCCAATGTTCGTTCTTGGGCCTATTAGCTGTAATAACGATAGTGTTAGAAGATTCAGTTATAGTTAAATCTAGTTTCCTTGTTAGTTTTATTAAAATGATACTAACTGCCGCTCCTGAGTCTAGGACAGTTAAGATTAGATTATTTTGGATCCTTATATAGCATTTAGCCATGGTAGTTTGTTGGCTAGTTTTGTTTTCTGCATAGTTGGTGGCTTCGGTTGCTACAACAATTGAACATCATAGGGCTTGTGCGAGATTTTGTCTTTGCTTTGGAACCTGCAACAGCTACACATAGGTTGCATTAGCATGCTGTTCTAAGAGGTTTGTTGCAATGTTGTATAGTGGAGCTAAATCAACTTGGGAAGGTGCTCTTCGACATCTGATCCGATTATTGGTTTTTAATATGAGTTGGGCTGGAGTTTGTATTGGTGTTGGCGTGAGTTTTTCCATGGTGGTTAGTGTTGAGGCTTGATCAGTTTGGCTAGGCTCATGAGCAACTCTTTTTCGGAGTTGCTCATCCCACTGAGTCTCTTTTCGGGTCTCTCTTGTCATTTAATAACATAGGCTTCTTCTCCAGGGCTATATTTGTAGATATCACATAAATTAATATTTCGGGTGCATAGTGAAGTGTTTGAGGTGTTTTGGAAGTCCATGCGAGGTCGTTGAAAGTTCGGTCTAGATTCGAAGAACAGTTCCTAGTGATATAGCCTCTTTTTCTACAGTTATAGCATTCAATGCTTTCGTTTCGAGTGGGTTGGTATAATCGATGTTGGGGCTAGTAGGGGCTTATTTCGACCCTTGCGGTTAAGGTTGTTATTAACTTTTCATAATTGGCAGCCATTTGCTGCATCTTCCAGGTTAGGTCATCAATTAACTTGCTAGTAAATTCATTGCTGCTCTTGCCTTCATAATAGTTTCTGGTTTCGATTTTCCTTGCTTTAGATATGATAGCTTTTAGATTTTTGAGTTCATCGGCAAACATGAGAGCGGTGGTTTTTCCATGAAGACTACCCATGAATATTCATACTATGTAAGCATCAGGCATTTATTTTTTTGGGTCAACTCTTTTCAACAATTTTTTAAATTGAGAGCCCATTTTTAAAGTAACAACACAATTTTTTTTATTGTTTGAAGCGTGATAGGTATATTTATTCACTCTTTCATTTTCTTTTTACTTCAAAAAGGTTAACTCTATCTGCTATTGATGTTTACACTCAGGAGTCGCGAAATACTTTATAAAGGCTTGAACAAAGCTATTACCGGGTTATCTTCATCGTCCCAAAGATAAGTGCTTCTTTATAGTTGTAATACCAACTTGCTGCTATCCCGGATAAATGTCCTAATGCAATTTTGATTTTTCTTGCCCGGCCCCAATTGTTGGCATCTGTGGCTCTTTCGAATACCTCAATCTATTCAACTGGGTCTTCGTTATCCTCCTCTTTGAAAGCCTTCACATGTACTCAGTTATTTTCTCGAGGAGCCGGTGAGACATCATGGATTGTAACTTCTCTAAAAGCTTGGGCTATTTCTCTCAAAAGAGTATAAGCGGGTTGGTCTTGGTAAGCCAGTGGAGTTTTGTGGTTAATAGGCTCTCCATCGATGGACCTGTTGTCCTCAAAATGATCTAGGTCTGACATTATTCCTTATTTTAATAATAGTTGGATTCGTATAGTTTATTTGGATTCCTTTGAATTTAGCAATTTGTAAAATTTGATCTCACAGTACCACCAATTATAAAAGTGTGACTGACCCGTTTATGGCTAAAACTAAACAATAACTAAATTATAATACTAAAACTATCTAAACTAATGCTTTGATACTTCAAAACACAGGTCAAAAGATAAAAAATCAGGCACAAATTAGGTACCTGATTTTAAACTGATTACTGCCTGATTACTGCCTGATTACCACCTGATTTATGCATATTTTTGTACCAAA